TACACCGCCTTTAAGGGTAAATATATCTGTTAGAGGTAGACCACCTCCACCACCTCCTCCTCCTGTGCGTCCGCAAAATCCATCTTCGGTGCCACCTCCACCTCCTCCTGTTCCCACCTTTTCATCTAAACAGTCCAACAGCTTGACACAAAATTCCTCTTGTATTCCTTCTCCTCCCCCACCGCCAGCTCCTTTGTTTAAGGGAGTTTCAAAGACTCCATCTCCTACACGGACACTTAGTACTTCCAACAGTGGAAAAGGACGTCTGTCACGTACCATGAGTTCAAAAAGTAGCAATAAGAAACTGAAACCGTTGCACTGGATGAAACTAACAAGAGCAAATCAAGGAAGCTTGTGGGCAGAGGCGCAAAAATTCGGAGCCATGTATGCTCTATAATTCTGCAGAAAAAGTTATATTGTCTGACAAAGTTTTATAGTGACATGCTTCTAGTATCTTAAGCTTGAATTTCTTTTTATTATTTTAACTAGAGCTCCAGAGATTGATATGTCAGAGCTTGAGAATCTTTTCTCGGCAACACTTCCAATTTCAGCTCATGGCAGGAAATCATTCAAGCGCAATTCAGTTGGATCGAAAACTGAAAAAGTGCAATTGGTAATTTATGCTTCAGTTCTTGATAGTGAGCACAATTAGCTTTTTGCTTATCTCTATGTTTATCCCTTATTTTTCTCCTTATTTACCATGCTAAGGTGCAGTATAATTAAGTTCATAGATGAAAAAAAAAAGAGAGGAAAAAGAGGAAAAAAAAAAAAAAAAAACTTAGCTTGATTGCTTGATTATCATCAATGAAGAATTGTAATTTGTATTTATTTTTGGTTGAACAGGAGGAAGTAGGAAACATTTATAATGACATGATATTCTCTTCCCTCTGCCTTTCACTTTTTTAACAATAATAATCCTGAAAAGTGAACTTATTTACTATTCTTGCTTCTTTCAGCTTGACCATAGACGAGCATACAATTGTGAGATCATGCTCTCGAAGGTGAAAGTTCCATTGCATGTGTTGATGGTGAGCTTCTATAGATATAACTTTTGCACATAATTACTCGGTGATGAATCTAAGCATCAAACTCTGTTCATTTTTATATGCAACAAATTCACAGCCAATGTGTCGGAGCAGTCTAATAACATATACTGTTATCATTCTGAGTCATAATTAGCTTTCAAAGATCTTTCACTCTTATTCTTAATGACTGCGAAGTTGCACTTGACTGGAGCATGTTTTGAACAGAGACGCTTCCCTCGTCTTCTTCCAGATTTTATGGGTTCAGACTAAGATCAAGCAATAATTTCTCATTTATTGCCCTTATTAACAAAGACTGTTTTGTGTCATATTGACAGGATTCAGTGCTTTCCCTGGAAGATTCAATATTAGACGCTGATCATGTTGAGAATCTCATAAAGTTCTGCCCAACACAAGAGGAGATGGAAATACTTAAGGTATCGCAGAGTTTGTAATCGATGACTATTTGTTGCACTTTTCAAGTTATAATTTCCTTTACATATTTCTGTTCAGGGCTACACTGGAGAGAAGGAAAACTTGGGAAGATGTGAACAGGTGTGTAGGGTGTTAATCTTGCTTTTCCTTTCCTCAGCTTATATTATTTTTGGCAATTTGATACGCTTATCTTTGAACAACATGCTTTTATTTTTATTTTTTATTTTTAACTACAACATCAGTATTATTTTTAATTCCATATACACTGTATAGTTTTACGAATGGGTGGTCTAGTTACTGTTGTTTTCACAAAGAGGCACGACCTTTACCTTTTCTTTTTGAACTTAGGGGTGGGGGGATTTGAACTCTATTCTTGTAGTGGAGTTAGGTGTAAAATTACTGCTGGCCGCTGGGCTATGCCTGCAAAATCACAGAAGCACTACTTTTACTTATGCCAAAGGTAAAAGCAAAAAAAAAAAGAAAATGTTAAAAGTTAATTAAACTAGCTTTTCATAATAAAAACTACATCGGTTCTCTGTAAAATGCTTATGTGCACATTTTACCTAACACCGGTTAAATCCTTTTTGGTTCAAATTGCTTTAGGGTAAAGTTATCCCATTCCGGGCCTTATCCTACATTGATTTATGGATTTCCTCTTATAGGTATAATGCTGCTTTATTTAAGGCTGAAGATTTTTCTGTTCTAACTGAAATTTATTGGTTCCCCAATTAAATAGATTTATTCTATTCGATAACAGTATCAGCTCTGTAAGATGCTATTTATTGGTTAACTTTAGCATAAGTAGACCACCTCTTGATATGAGTATTTAATCGATAGATTGTGTTGTAATCAGATTGTATTGTTTCCCATTACTCATAACACGCATCACACGCAGTAGGGAAGGTCAGGCAGAATAAGTTAGTCTTGTAATTTATTAGCTTTATCTGCATCATTTTTAGAGAAAGTTTGCATATACAAGATTTGGTTCTACGCCAACCAGGACCTTTTTCATTTTATTCTTTTCCTTGAAAAAAGGTAATTATTCTGCTAAAGGTCTTTGATTCGTTAACCTCAAAAGAGGGGCTATTGTAACAGTTCTGCTCAGAGTTGGTATTCAAGGAAATACTTGGGGGGTGTCCTCCTGTGGTTTTAGACTATTCTATATTCTTTTCTCTTGCTGTACATATCATGTCTCTAATCTATATATGTTGTTTTATATAGCGACTTGTTTTTGTCTTTTCTTTTTTTAATCTCATACCTGATAATGAACTTTACTTGCCCTAGACTGAAGCTCATTAACTGTACTTCTCTAACTGCTCAATTTGGAGAAATAAATTGGTGAATTGTTTGATTTGGAATCACTTTCGGCTTTAACCCTTCCCCTTTTTGGCAACAGTTCTTCTTCGGGTTAATGCAAGTGCCACGCGTAGAATGTAAACTTAGAGTTTTTTCATTCAAGATACGGTTCCATTCTCAGGTGAAAACCACATTCCTCAAATCATATTCTATTTTTCTGCAATCCTTAATTCCTTAACTGTATTTTTAGTTGCCGTATAGGTCTCTGATCTTCAAAATAGCCTCAATGTCGTGAACTCTGCATCAGAAGAGGCAAGTAATTCTATTGTGTTCCTTTCTTGTAAGAATTTCATCAGTTTTATTGGATTTTCACAAATCTTACAAGGGTTTTTTTTATCAGATCAGAAGTTCCTTAAAATTAAAAAGAATCATGCAGACAATTCTTTCCTTAGGAAATGCTCTGAATCAGGGAACTGTTCGGGGTAAGTTGAAACTTAGTTGACCTTATATCTTGCTGATTTTGTCATTATTTCTACATCATTATACAAAGGGGAGGTGGAAAATTCCATGTGATCAATACTAGCAGTCATTTCACCTTTGAAATACTCATAAGAATGCAAATGGACAAGGCATTCTTCTAAAATAATACGCAGATAAATTATTAGTATTTGACTTTTTTCTTGGGATCCAATTAAAATGCAGGATCCTTTTCAACACTAATGGGCCATCTGTTCATAGGTTTGAACAAAAAGTTTGAACAGACCCATATTTTTGTAAGATTTCAACTCCTTGTTCATTTCGCCGATTCAAATCACATCTCAAGTTTTTGCTACAGTGTTTTCTCTCACAAAAATTCAAATTCAACTTTTTGTGCTACAGTATTTATTCTCACATAAATTCACATTTCAACTCGAATCGGTGAAATGAACAAGGCCTTAGCAAACATTTTAGATTGTGGTTCAAACTGTGAACCAAATGGGCTACGAGCTAATGTTTTAATGTTGAGTTCTTCATTGTAAGAAAATTTCAATTGGTGCAAGTTTCATTGCAACAATGTAATATTTGGTGAGAAAATTTTCAAATGACTTTTCATGGCAAGTCAATGTAGTTTCTGAAAATAAGCTGTTAGGTTTACGTGTTCTAGCTGCACAGTGTATGAGAGGCTTATGGAACTCAATTCTTTATAATTCTATATGGAGAGAAGATGCTAGATGAGCAAAAACTAAAATGGACGTAGCTACAATATTTGTAACATTTTGACTTTATAATATTTCTGATATTATTCATAGTAACTAATTTCATAAAAATCCTCTGTTAGGGTCTGCTGTCGGATTTAAGTTGGATAGCCTTCTTAAACTCACGGAGACTCGTGCACAGAACAATAAGATGACTCTTATGCATTATCTTTGTAAGGTAGAAGATGGTCTCTTCAGTTGGATTGCTTTTGGAATTTAGTAGAAGTTGCTTTTCTGTTTTGAAATCGTGTACAGTTAAATGTTTTCATAAACTGACGATTATGTCGTGAGGAAGGAAAGTGCTTTGATAATTATTAAATGTATCAATTCCAAAATGAAATATGTTGCAACATTTAAATAATCATGCCAATGAGGCCCTTTTGTGGGCTTAATCTGAAAATTGAACAGTTCTTTTTATGTCAGTTTTTTAACAGCATCTTATGAAAAATATTTTACAGATATAAAGAGTTCTGATATTCATGTTGGTAACATTCAATTTTCTTCAATAAGCTGCAGGTACTCGCTGATAAACTACCTGAAGTTCTAGATTTTTCTAAAGATCTTGGCAGCTTGGAATCTGCTTCAAAGGTATTCTTGTTTGTGTTCGGCAACCATATGTCAATGAATACTTGTATCAAGTGATTTTATTGTAAACTTGTGTAGATACAACTAAAAGTTTTGGCGGAGGAAATGCAAGCCATAAGCAAAGGATTGGAGAAAGTTATCCAGGAATTGTCTGGTGCTGATAATGACGGTCCTATCTCAGAAAATTTCTGTAAGGTATTTATATACATCTTTATAGTGAATAAAGTCCACTGACAACTAAAAGCTCCACAACATTTTAATTTCCATGCATACCGGTGGTGTTTTACACCTCATCTTTTTCATCTTGTAAGTAGGGATGTTTTGGGGCTTCGATTCTATAGATTTTGATGGTGATTTTGTATTCCTTTGGTTTCTTTTGCTTGCATGTATTATATTTTCTATCAGAAATATCCTTTTTTTTAAGGATTATTTCGTTCTAAAAATGTTCATTTTGTATTGCAAAAGATGAGTGAACTTTTTCCTCGAGTGAGCTAGTCTAATTTCGTCTGAAATGCTGAGCTTTGTGTTTATATAGAAGGTCAAAATGCTGAAATTTGTAACCAAAGGCCGTGAGGTTTACTGCTTTTCCAGTTTTTATTTACTCTTTTTCTTCTCGTAGACTTTAAAGGAGTTCCTTCAATATGCTGAAGCTGAAGTGAGATCGTTGGCTTCACTGTATTCTGCTGTGGTAGGTCTTGCTTTCCAAGCTAATGTAGTGACTTCATTGTATTCATTACATGATGAGACTCTTATTTACTTTTGCGTTCAACGTTTTTCAGGGTAAGAATGTGGATGCTTTGATTCTTTATTTTGGGGAGGATCTTGCTCGATGCACTTTTGAACAAGGTATTGTCAAAAACTAACCAGGAGGTATTCTGGTTTTGAATTCGGTATTTTTGTGACTATTTTATGAATGACGGATAGTTTGCTTTTAGGCATAATAAATTCACAAGAAAATAAAAAAAAAATAGAGTAGTAATCGTGCCGGAAAGTCGATTGAATAGTGAAAGAGGTCGAGAGGCGGAATATCTCGGCAACAGTGGATGTAGGTAAATTCATTTGTCGAACAACTATAAATCTCGTTTGCATCTCTCTAACTCTATCTCTTTAATTTTCGCACCTCAAATTTAATTGCTGACATTGATTGTCTTAACTCATCGTGATAAATTTATTGAACTCTTTTTATCGTATTAGATTGGTCTATTTCATGTAAATCAAGTGGTTGAGCTATTGTATTAACTTACATAATTTTCTGTACACCAAGTGTTTGTTAAGGGTTCTTTGTTCAATTAATTGTCTACATTGATTGTCTTAACTCATCGTGATAAATTTATTGAACTCTTTTTATTAGATGATTTAGTTGCAAAAAGTCGTTAAAATGTAGTTTTTTAGTATGTGCTTATCTTAAATTTTTTACTGTTCATCTCATGAATATGTGCAAAGGAAATTTTTAGTACTTTCAATTATATATTATAAGTTAAAATGATTTAATCTTATTAAATTAGTGTACTTATATATTGTAAATAAATTGCATGTTCTAACTAATTAATGTACATGACGTGTATCTATAAAACCATGTTATAAAGTAACCGTATATATATATATATATATATGTATGTATGTATGAGATTAGTCGTATTTTTTTAAGTCATTAGTAGAAAAGAAGGGATAGACATTTATGTCCGTTTGTTTTATATACTCGAACTCAAATTATTGATTCTGTTACAATATTTTCTTTTCCCAAAAAATTTAAATTTCAAACATCAGAATTAAAAATCATGATTTGAGTATACATTTGAAACATGTCCTTAAAGACTGTAAAACTAGTCTTAGACCTATGTTCAATTACGGCGGACGTCTAAAACCTTATATAGACTTCACTCCAAACACGAATGATGTCTAAAGCTTGTCCCCACTACAAAAAAGCTTATTTACGACGACGGATTGTCGTCACAAATAATTGTATTGTCGTTGTAAATATTGTATTTTCGACGACATGTCGTCGTAAAAAACCCGCAAATAATATATTTGCGACGACAAAGTTTTTAAATGTCGTCGCTAATATATTAGCGATGACAGTCGTCACGAATAAGTCGTCACAATGCTCCGTCGAATATGTCATTGATGATAACGTGTCCTAACTTATTTGCGACGACTACGTGTCGTGACAAAAATATTTAAAACCTTTTGCGACCATAGGCTTCAAAATGTTGGCGCTAGTAATGTAGACTATTTGCGACGACAATTTAGATATGTCGTCGCAAATATTTTTTTCTTTTTTTTGCCGTACTTTACTAATAATATTAATTATTAAATATATAAATTAGAAAAAAATTTAATAATAAAATAAAACAATAAAATTGATATTTATTAATAAAAGATTGATATAAAATAGTCAACACAATAATAATATCAGTCTTAAAAAGTAAATTAATCAAGAAATATTAAAAAAGTGTTAATAATAAAAAACAAAAACATATATTTTAATCCCTTAAATTAGCAGCATCGTCGTCGTCGTCCTCATCTTCTTCGTTTAGCTCAGGCGGCGGAGGAACCAACAGTTAGGGACGGTTAAGTGACAAGAAGTTGATGTTGAGATTCATTGAGCGCATGGCTTCCATCATGATCTGTTGGTTGTCAAACATGTTGCATTGGTCGATACAGATGTTGTTTAGCCAGTTTTGGACATACTGGGGAAAATTAACCGAAGACAACCCGTCCAATTGCGAACCAGATGATGAGGTGGAAGCGCTTGAATGATTCCTCCGTGGTAGTGTTGGTCCCACTCCCTTACTGTGTCCTCTGTGCTTGTCCAAGACTTGGGACATAATCCCCTCCTCATCGATCGCCGTGGCAGCTGAACCTTCGCTAGCAGACTGTGTCATTTGCATGGTTCTTTCCCCCTCCATCTGAGCCTGGAAAGATAAATGAAATAAAAATAGTATAATATGTTGTATTAAAAATGAAAAAAAGAAATAAATTTAAAATTTACTTACAAATGCTTATTCAACGTCTGGATTGACAAAACTCTGCTCATGACAGTGCATGTCAGCCCAATTGTCAATTAATGATCTAGGCTGCTAGCTCTCAGGATTTGCCTAATCAGGTTGAATGTGTTAGAATAATTATTAAGCCAAAGTGACAAAAACTTAACAAGTATGCAAATTAGTATTACCTTATCGAAACGTTGCTGGGATTATGACTTTCTACTATGTAAGCTAGACCACTTCTGACTGTCACGGTTTTGTTAATTTGTAACAGATTTTTTCTAGTAATGATTATAGATGAATTAGTAACATACTTAATAATTAAATAAATTAATCAAAAATAAGAAGGCATAATGAAATTAAACCTGAAAAGCAGGGGACATAAAATGATCACAGCAAGGTCCTCATTGCTCTTTTCTCGTCAAGTTTTTAGGAGGATTTTGCCTAACAAAATCCTCCTTTTCTCCCCCTCCCATCTTCTAAAAGTGTCTGTGCAAGGTAGTCTTCCAGTCCTTGTAATATTTACCGGCTTCACGATCGTCAAGTTTCATGATTCTATGTCTTGAACTATCGTCACCTCGTCGATGAACTTCTACTTATCAATCAGGGCTAAAGTGTAAGCTACATGTGGTTTCATCCAACAATCACCATCCTTATGCAAATGCAACTCTTTATGAATCCCCATATTCTGCAAATTGATCCTCACATTGTCTGTGTCTTTACGTTTTCCATTGATACTAAGAACGTACCAACAAGCTGTCACATACATTTTTTTGATATGCATGACATCTAAGTTGTGACAAAGCGATAATGAAGTCCAGTAAGATAGTTTCAAAAAAAAAAAAAAAACTCTTCTTTGTCTAGTTAAGCTCTATTTGTCTTTTTCGTTCCTTACCTCCATACTTCTCATGTTTACCAGGCACTCTGGACCCGACATTCTGTAGCTGAGCTAATATTTCTTTGACAGACTTTCAAGGCGGAGGAGGACGACGATCAACCTAACCATCAAACTTCCTACTATTTCTCATATGTGCCCAATAAGAAGCCACCGTCAATGCCCAACAAAACAGCTTTTACTCATCAACCTCTTTAATGGTGTCACATCATTACATGACGAACATGTTAAATACCCCTGTCCACTCCAGCCAAACAAACTAGCATGAGCAAAAAAATCATTGATAGTCATTAGCAACGTAGCACACATCCTAAACGATGAATTTGAAGCATTAAAACCATCAGTAGCTAAACCTAATTGAACGTTTCTTAGTTCCTGAGCGAATTCAGTATGCTTCACATCTAAATCCTTCCGCTCCCTACCATCAACTGGATGACGCATTAAGTTTGGATCCTTCAAACACCTCCGCATGTGCTATGTCATTTCCTTTGCAGTGTGACACGAGTTATTTAGAGGCCTCAATCGATCCTTCAAAGGAAAATACCATAATACTTTTTGTGGTACCTTTTTACCTTTTTTTTTACTCTTCCAACGACTGGTGTTACATACTGGACAAGCCTGTAGAACGGCATTCTCCTTCCAAAATAATGCACAATCATACTTAAAAACATGTATTGTTTTGTAGCTCATACTGAGTTTACCTAATTTCATCTTCGCCTCGTAATAACAATCTGGAAGTTTAATCGCTTCAGAAAATGCATCTTTCAACAGCTTCGAAACAGAGTTCATACACTCATTGAGCCATTTGTAGAGCACAATTAAAAGCATCAATTTCAGCAATAAAATGACATGTCATTTTTTACTGATCACTCAAAACAATGTCGTTTTGAAAAAAACAACAAAAAACTTTCACGAACGAAACGACATGTCATTTTCTTTATGATGACGAGAAACGATGTCATTTTCCATAAAACCATGAAAAAGTGTCACCTACAAAATGACATGTCATTTTGACAAAAAATAAAAAAACCTACAAAATGACATATCGTTTTGACAAAATTTCACCAAAAAATGACGTCGTTTTTATTGATGCGTCAAAACGATGTCATTTTTTAAAAGAAAAAAAACTTTCACCAGTAAAATGACATTTTTTTATGATAGAAAACGACGTCATTTTGACAAAAATGAAAAAAGACTTTCAAGACCAAAATGATATGTCGTTTTGACAAAACGACAAAAAATTCTATTTTTTATGATTTTCTCTATTTTTCATCTTTGAAAAATAAAATAAAATAAAAATGACATCAAAACATTCGAAGCTTTTGCAGACAAGATCTTTACATTTTTCTGAGCATGCCTACCAAAAATAGCCTCAAATTATGAAAAAAGAAAACGCTGCCAAAAAGCCCGCCCAGCGGGTCGCCTAGGGTTCAGGAGTGGTCAAAAATTGATATTTTTATTAATTTTTTACATTCTAAAATTAATACAATATTTTTAGGAATTAATGCAATAAGCTGCACTATTTTTTTATCATTATCCTATTTTTCAAGATTTTCTCTATTTTTCATCTTTAAAAAATAAAATAAAATAAAAACGATGCCAAAAAATTCTTAAATTTTACAGACATGATCGTTACATTTTTCTAAGCATGCATGCAAAAAATGGCTTTAAATTATGAAAACAAAACGTTGTCAAAAAACACTCAGCGAGCGCAGTGGGGCGCTCAGGGACCAGGATGAGTCATAAATTAACATTTGCATTTATGTTTCACATTGTCAAATTAATGTATGAGTTTTAGGAATTAATACAAGCGGCACCATTTTTTGATGAATGTTCTATTTTTTATGATTTTCTACATTTTTCATCTTTGAAAAATAAAATAAAATAAAACCGACGTCAAAAAGTTCTGAAATTTTGCAGACACGGTCCTTACATTTTTCTAAGCAAGCCTGTAAAAAATAGCCTCGACTTCTAAAAAAGAAAACGTTGCCAAACCACCCACACAGTTGGGCGCCCAGGGGTC